ATGGAAAATGATAACAGAAAGCCATTCAGATCAAAAGGAAGGAAAGAAGAACACCAGAAATGAGCACTGTGCGGGTAAACTGTGCAGGCAAGCAGGCTGGACCCAGCTCCATTTACATTATTTACATTTATTTAAATCCACAGATCATTTTCTACAGTTATTAAAGGTGCCAAATAATATTCAGTTCCTCAATTTTGCCCCTTTCTACTTCCTGTAAATGGAAAATATGTTTCAGTCAAGATAGCTCTGAATTCAGTAGTGCATTTGACATTAAACTATACCACTAGTGCATTCTGCTCAACAAATATGTAAAAACTATCAAGGCTTTGAAAATTCTAATTCTTATGGGAGGGTCACATTGAGTAACTCCTATTTCTAACACTGAGTGCTGCCAAGCAAGTCCTTCTTTCTTCTAAACTTGGAGGTAGCAAATTATCTTATGTTAACACAGTAATTCAGAACAGAAATAAGGAAAACTTATATTTGACAATTCAGCTATAAAAGGAATACCCATTAAAAGCCTAGGAGAATTCGCATCATCCTGAACATATATTCATCTCCAAAACTTAAACATCACCATGTCTTCAACCTTAAAATAATGCTCCACATTCAAAATCCAATCTCCTAGAGCAGGGCTGTCTTTGAACTCTGTAACTCTTACACTACCAAAGGCCCAAATAACTAAAATACAGCAGCTCTTTGTTTAACAAAAGAAAACATTTCTGTCCCTGCAGAGGCATGGTCCACACTTATTTTATTTTTTTTTAACTACATAAGACTCATGTAGTTTGCTTTTTGAAGTGTGTCAGGGCATCTTAGTATTAAGTACTATTAAAAATAGGGACCACCCCCAAGGGCTTGTGTGTGACTTACATGTGAAGAGTCCAGACAGCACCTTCACAAACTATAGCCTGGCCCCCTCATGCCTGCTCTGTGTAGGCAAATACCTGGTCACACCAAGCTTTGTGGAAGAAATTCACACTCTACCATTACAGTCCTTCCTGTGACTCAGTAACTTCAAAAAAAAAATTAAAAAAAAAGAGGGACACATGCCTACACTTTTCCATCAACCCACAGATGGTGTTGATGGTGGTGCCACGGAGAAAAGACATGAATCACGATTTGCATAAATCAAACTAAGACACATCTGAGAAGTCTTCAATGAGTCTGCATGTCCCCATACAGCAATTCATGTGTCACAGGTGCTGATGACAGCTAGCACTGTATCTCATACACAGTCCTTACTATATACCTGGGAGCTTTTCATGAATCAACTTGTTCAGGACACAAAACCCCTCATGAGGTGGTTACTACTGTCACAGATATCTCACAGATGAGGAAACCGAGGCCCATTGACGTTGCAGAACCTGTCCAAGAGCATGTAACAAAGAGATGACGGAACCAGAAGAAGTCACGTGGTACGGCTCCAGTGCATGCTCCTAGGCACTGAGCCACATACAAGGTCCCCCATGACACGTCCCTGAGAACAACCATTTAGAGGTGTACCCTGACTAACTTCTTTGTACACCTTTCCACCACAAAGGCAACCCCTATCCTGACCATAACCACCATTCCAAGTTTCTCACAGGCCATCCACACCTGACTGACAAAATCTGTCCATTCTGGTTTCTAAAAGATATTCAGATACTTCTTGCAGGAAACACAAATGTTATGATAATCAAGTGTAATGGGAGAAGCTTTAAGGTGGTGGAGGTAAGGAGCCAGGTAATACGGCCACCAACAAATTCAAAAGGGGTTGATTAGATGCTGAAAGTCTCTCTAATGTTTCCATTCTAAACAGTAAGAACTAATTACTATTCATTTTTAAACATAGTTTATCAAATTCACCTACCACAATGATCAAAAGAAACAGAAAACCAACACCCAGGAATTCCACCAGTGCCGAGTCCTCCAGACCTTCAATGGCTGGGCTGCTTGCTCTGCCTGTCGACAGGCAAAGACCTTCTAGAGAGGCTGGTTTTTCCTTTCATAAAGAGTAAGTTCAGAGGATGACTTTTTAAAATAACTAAGAGATTCCTTTTATTTTTGCCTCAATTCAGGAAAATAAGTCCTTTGGAACTCTCAATTCTCCTGCTGTCTATGTGCCAAAAAACCCCCAACTTCAGTAAACCCAATGGCAGCAACCACACAGAAGCAAACATAGCTTAGGGGCTTCCGGTAGAAAAGTAACAGTGCAAACACATGAGATGTTTTGACTAAAGACTTAAGAAATGTGTTACAAGCATCAATCAGAAAATGGAATTGCTTCAACTTGCAGGCTGGAAATTTAGGGCAAGGTCTAAACTGAAGTTGGCATAATCTACACTTAAGATTTCAATTTTTCTTAAGAAAGTCAAACACATAAATTCCCTTTCTAACCAAGACAAAAGGCATTATTAACTGGTGACCCTAAAAACATGTACCTAAAAAGAGCAATTAATTGTACAAAAAGAGCAAGCTTCATATCATTCTAAAGAGAGAGGTAACACTTTTTCCAAAACAAACACATAAACCATGACTCTGATTAGAATTCAGTGTTCTCTCCCAGAAAGTCTAAATGTCAACCGAGAATACAAGTGGTCCATCACAGAATATGCTCTCTGCATGTGTACTTTTGGGAATTTTAGACACGAGGTAAAAAGCAGAATCTAGTCAACAATCTGCCCAATGCTTGAAGCAACATTTCAAAATTACCGTTTAGGTAGTTACTCTGGGCTTGGGATCAGCAGACACAACATAACTTTAAAAAGGTATGTTACGTGTAAGAAGGTTGGCACTGAAGTCTGACAGTAACTGACAAAGCTCCAGGAACTCGGATTCCAGTTTCTATGATCTGCCTAACAAGGTAGGGCATGTACCATATAGTTTATTCTAAATGTTCATGCTAAATACCAACAAGAAATCAAAAGAGCTCTTTTAAAGCCAAGAAGTAGTAAAAGTTATTTTTTATTTGCTGTGTACCCTGCAACACAACAAGACATTTATGCCCTAACTACACTATCCCTTCGTAAACAACAAAGCTCCCTTCTGCCATGCAGGCCACCCCAGACCAGCTCTGAATGTAGCTTAACCTGTCAAACCTGAATCTATACTATATCCCTGGGTAGATTTCACTAGTAGAGTGTGATCGTAACTCCCCAAAATGCTGTCACGAATCCTTAATTCAGTAAAACAAGGCACTCAGCATGCTAATAATTAAACAGATTAGCAATGGGTTAAGTTTTCCCTAAGTTCCCCTGAACAAAGTTTCTCTTTTCTGGTGCCCTGGAGAATTAAAGCTAATTGACTGATTTGCACACAGCTGCCACACAAGCACTACAGTCGAGTGCAAAGAGGAAGCCGGCAGCACTACCATCTGAGAAAGGCACCCGGAGCCAGGGACAAAGGGCTCCCCACCCCCACCCCAAGAGAATGAAGCCTGATGACCTTCTTCATACCCCCTTGCTGACCAATCCCAGCAGAGGTGAAGGTGATGGCCAGCCACAAAGCTAAAATACTGGTCACTGTCACTTCCAACCACAATCACAGAATTCTGTTGTCCAAACACAGAGGAAAAATGATGCCAGCTATACAACTGCCCCCCGCCGCCCCACCCATGTTTGGAAACATGGATAGTATTATTACACATTCCAATACGTTTACGAATGTGATTTAAAAAAAAAAAAAAACATATCCTTTAACCCCCTGCTCTTGTGATGATGCACTTTTCAAATTGGGGCAGAGCAAGCGTCTGTCACAGAGTATCTGAAACATAAAAGGTTTCCAGTGAGACACTCAGCCAAGTGTCTTTAAAAAGAGTAGCATACAAGGTCCAGTACACTGGAGAGACGGTTCTCACACACGCTTGCTAAGTGCACTAAAAACAAATCCAAGGAGGAGCAAGAGATAAAGGTGGCAGAGATTAATACAGACTCCATACCATGAGTTTTCTACAGCAAGACACTACACAACAGGAAAACAAAGGCTTGCAGCTAATGGCTCTCCAATTTCAGATCTAAAATGCAGGTCTATTACAGATTCTTAAGTATCCACACATGGCTACCCTTGTCCTTTCCTCCTTATTTGCTGCCAAGTTCAGTTCTTCATTAGATACACACATCAAGATGGCTTCTGAAAAGCAACTATAACTGTGTACAGAAAGGGTACGCAAAGTCCAGACTGGGGATTATTTTCCTCCGCTTTTCCCATCCTCTCCAACAAACAGATTCTAAGAACGAGTAAGTAATCTTGTCATCCGGGAACACACTGAGCATGAGAAGAGAAATGGAGTGAAATGAAATACAAATTCTCATTGGGGGCAGGGGGGAATCACATCATACATGAGACATGAAATAAGGAAGATGACTAAAAAAGGGTTTTTAAAACACTCAATTAAAAGTGTTATTATATAATGTCACTGTCACTGTCTCACCATGAAGCCACAGCTCTTGTCAAACTACCATAGCCAACTTCCTGATCAAGCTATCTTAAGCTTATTTTAGAAAGTCATTAAAAAAAAATTAAAAACCTGCTGGTAAATAAATTCTATGAACTGATTTCACACCTACTTATTTGGTTAACACCAAATGGATTTTGCTTTCCTAACAAGGGGAGAATTTTTCTTAAAAACACCACATTTAAATCTTCGTATTTACACCTCTGTAGTAATGGCAAAATACCATCTAATATACTCAAGAATACAACTGATGAAAATCAATTAAAATGAACAGCAAAGGCAGGAATTACAAACTGGCAACTCTCTGGCCAAAATTTTTATAGCAGGAACTTGTTTTGTTTGGCTCATACCATTTTTTTGTGTGTTTTACTCATCTTTAATGATAATTAGTGGACAATATTTAAGAACCAGGATATTTGATACAAAAATCCAGAATTCTGGCTCCTCTGTGAAAAAAATCAAGAGACTGGGTGAGTGGGCCCAAGTTTGTTCCCACTTGGACAAAACTGGCACCTAGTTTGAAGTCCCTGGTAAGGCACGAATATGTTCAGCCTTGGGTACTAACCTTTTCCTCGACGGCCCTTCTTCAAAATCTGAAGAACTAACATCGTTGCTAGTCGAGGACACTTGGGATGCATCGTCCTTCTCATTCTCTGACTGTTCTGATGCTGGTCCTAATCCCTTAGACTGGCCATTACCAAGGAGCCCTACAGGTGAAAAAAGGGGACAAACACTTAAATACATGACATAAGGAAGCAGCACTTTACCACAGTTAACCCTACACAGTGGCCGGTGAGGGCAGACAAGAAACTCGACAGGAGAGAACCAGAAGGTATGGATCCCCTGAGAATGGAGGGGAGAGGTCCCACCTCATCCTACTTTCGACCTTACAGAAGAGTGGAACAACTGCCAAAGAAATGACGCCAACAGTAAGCAATACAAGCAGAAATGTGTTATCGTAATAATATACTACAGGGTTCTTTCTAAAGTACATCACCTGGGCTTCCCAGGTGGCGCTAGTGGTAAAGAACCCGCCTGCCAAGGCAGGAGACGTAAGTACATCAGCATCTTTCAGGACTGGGGGAAGAAACGTACTTCACATATTACCAATTCAAACTAGTTATCCTTCCAGGACCACATATTTACTCCAGAAAACACCAAAACCCTTTTGGGAATTGCCTTCAGGAAACAGTAACTACCACCCAAGAAAAAGCATCAATCATTGCTTTGTAGCCATGTATCGGTTCTTAACGAGAAATCTGACTGGACAACTTTCTCTTCATAGCAATCCTTCCCATCAGAGCCACCACGTTTGAAACTGACCATCTCAAAGGATAAAGATTCTCCATGACAGCATACATGGTGCCATGCTAAAGAGGGGGTCTCAGGGCCCCAGGGTGTGCTTCTAGTAACCCAAGCTGGAGAAGGGCCTGCACTGAGAGATATGGAAGTCGTTTAGCAGCCAGGTCACACTAACGGGTAACAGCTGAATAAAAGCCTCGTCCTTCCAGAGCTCAGACATCCTTCCATCCAATCCAGGGTTCTGGATACAATTTAGTTTCTACCAATGGGGGGCTTGAACCCGCACAAGTGTCCACAGCCAGTGGCCCCCAGTTTCACTGCCTAGTCAACCAGCCTCTGGGCATAGGCAGAAATGCTAACACAGTGCCTACATTCTCACAGCCACAGGGTTTGGCTTTTATATAAAGCCAAAAGGGCAGGAGTCTTTTGTTCTCTCAACACTTTCAGCAAGTTTGTGAGCATTTATGTCCCTGTATTAAATCCCGTTTTAGCTGAAGCATTGAGAGAGTGGTTCCTATTAGTCGCCATAAACACTATATTCCACACTGAGTAGCATTTTCAGGAAGAAAACAGTATACTGCAACGAAACCCTGGGACTTGGCCTGCTTATCCATTTCCCCAGTTATCTGTTTTTACATCATTTCAGAGTATGAATAACAACATAAGGCTGGAAACCTAACACAATGCAGTAAATGAAATCCCGTGGCTGTCACTTAGGCTTGGGGCTCTGGGAGTCATGACTACAATATGGAAATGAAAACACAGACAACTTCCCAGAGAAAGAGAAAAATGTGGGGAGTGTGCACCGTACGACAAACAGGAGACATAACTGGAGGGAAATCTATGGGTCTGAGGGTTGAAGTGTGGCCAACATTTCAAAGATGAGAGCAGTGCTATTCATTAGAGTAACCACCAGTCACACGGTGCTGCCGAGCATTTGAAATATAGCTAGTGTGAGTGAGAGGATGAATGATTATTTTTATTTAACCACATTTAAAACTCACTGTAACTACCATTTCTAAAATAATCTCATATTAATTCTAAAAATATTGTGGACAAATTATTAGGTTACATCAAACATATTTAGTCTTACCTGCTTCTTTCAGATTTTCTAATGCAGCTCTAGAAGCTAACACTACATACGTGGCTGAAATAACCTCTCCCCTGCTCAGCACTGGATGAGGGCCCTGCAGTAAGGCAACGGGTGGCGGCTGGTCCCCACCCCCAACCAGACGTGTTAACACAACCACACAACAGCCCCCCAGACAGCAGGAGGATGCACAGCACACTTACAAACGCAGATTAGAAAAGTAGCCCAGAGACAGAATGTAAGTCAATGGATGAACAACCACACTTGAAAAGGATAATGAATATGAAATAAAAATTCTCATTATGGAACCATATATGAAACTAACATTTAAGGGGGCATACATCTGTAAAATAAAAGTGTATTCCTGGTGGAATTCACATTTTTCAATAGTACAAAAGGACTTTAAGGAGAATAAAGCGGGAAAGGAGGAAGGAAATATAACTATTTTCTGCACACCTACCATATGCCAGGGCACTGGGGACAGAGGCATAATCCAGCAAATCTAAATTTTAGTAGTGACAGGAGATATACCTGTGTGTGTGAGCTAGCCGTATGGAGCCCTGAACTTGCAGGGCAAGCCAGAGTGGAGGGCAGTGAAGATGAATCGCTAGAGCAAGCAAAGCTGCCAACAGCAAGGCAAAGAGCGTGAAGCTGGCATCTGCAACCACCTAAAACCAAAGGCTGAGGTGGTGGCGGTGGCGCAGGAGCAAGCAGCGGTGGCCGTGCTGAAGCTGAGTTTGGGACAAGGAGCAAACGGGAAGGAGGTGCCGCTGGGCGAAATCGGGGGCAAGCCTTGCTCTGCCCTCTGGGGCACAGCAAGGCCTCAAGGGCCTGCTGAGGGAGCAGGCAGCCCGTGAGTGCGTGCGTGAAGGAATGAGTGGAGCAGAGACAAGCTCAGCTGTCCAGTGACAGAGAACCTCAGCAGACTGTGAAGAGCGCTGACCCTCAAGCTGGAGCGCCAGTTAGAATCACCTGGAGGCTCAAGCACTGGGCCTCCTCCAAACAGGCTCTCTTAACACAGATGCTGGCTCTGCTTTGGCTGCTCTGGGGACCACACTCTGAGACCCACTACTGCAGGGGGAGCAAGAGTCAGTCAGCAAGAGATCGAGTTGCTCTAAGACACTGTAAAGCTCTGGGGGAAGCGTGCACTAGATTCCAGGAAACTATGTTTGTACTGTCGTAACAACTCACAGTAAGGCACCCAAACCCAAAGTTCCGCTGGGGCGTTCATTCTTCCACCTTGGATCATCAATTTTGTGAAGGGGAAGAGGGCTGCTTACAATACTTAACCACAAAGCTATGGTAAGTCTGCTAATAGTTCAGTTCAGTCGCTCAGGCGTGTCCGACTCTTTGCGACCCCATGGACTGCAGCACGCCAGGCCTCCCTGTCCATCACCAACTCCCAGAGTTTACTCAAACTCATGTCCATCGAGTCGGTGAAGCCATCCAACCATCTCATCCTGTTGTTCCCTTCTCCTCCTGCCCCCAACCTCTCGCAGCATCGGGGTCTTTTCCAATAAGTCAACTCTTCACATCAGGTGGCCAAAGTATTGGAGTTTCAGCTTCAGTCCTTCCAATGAACACCCAGGACTGATCTCCTTTAGGATGGACTGGCTGGATCTCCTTGCAGTCCAAAGGACTCTCAAGAGTCTTCTCCAACACCACAAAAAAGCATCAATTCCAACACCACTGGTTGGATCTCCTTGCAGTCCAAGGGACTCTCAAGAGTCTTCTCCAACACCACAAAAAAGCATCAATTCTTTGGCACTCAGCCTTCTTCACAGTCCAACTCTCACATCCATACATGACCACTGGAAAAACCATAGCCTTGACTAGACGGACTTTGTTGGCAAAGTAATGTCTCTGCTTTTTAATATGCTATCTAGGTTGCTCATAACTTTCCTTCCAAGGAGGACACGTCTTTTAATTTCATGGCTGCAGTCACCATCTGCAGTGATTTTGGAGCCCAAAAAATAAAGTCTGACACTGTTTCCACTGTCTCCCCATCTATTTCCCATGAAGCGATGGGACCAGATGTCATGATCTTAGTTTTCTGAATGTTGAGCTTTAAGCCAACTTTTTCACTCTCCTCTTTCACTTTCATCAAGAGGCTTTTTAGTTCTTCTTCACTTTCTGCCATAAGGGTGGTATTATCTGCATATCTGAGGTTATTAATATTTCTCCCGGCAATCTTGATTCCAGCCTGTGCTTCTTCCAATCCAGCGTTTTTCATGATGTACTCTGCATGTAAGTTAAATAAGCAGGGTGACAATATACAACCTTGACGTACTCCTTTTCCTATTTAGAACCAGTCTGTTGTTCCATGTCCAGTTCTAACTGATGCTTCCTGAACTGCATATAGGTTTCTCAAGAGGCAGGTCAGGTGGTCTGGTACGCCCATCTCTTTCAGAATTTTCCACAGTTTATTGTGATTCACACAGTCGAAGGCTTTGGCGTAGTCAATAAAGCAGAAATAGATGTTTTTCTGGAACTCTCTTGCCAGCGGATGTTGGCAATTTGATCTCTAGTTCCTCTGCCTTTTCTAAAACCAGCTTGAACATCTGGAAGTTCGCGGTTCACATATTGCTGAAGCCTGGCTTGGAGAATTTTGAGCATTACTTTACTAGCACATGAGATGAGTGCAATTGTGCGGTAGTTTGAGCATTCTCTGGCATTGCCTTTCTTTGGGAGAGGTGGCTGTGCGGGCGCAGGAGGGCTGAGAGGAGCTACTCCACGTTCAAGGTCAGGAGGGGCGGCCCTGAGGAGATGCCCCACGTCCAAGCTAAGGAGCAGTGGCTGCGCTTTGCTGGAGCAGCCGCAGAGAGATACCCCGCGTCCAAGGTAAGAGAAACCCAAGTACCCAAGTGAGACGGTAGGCGTTTCGAGAGGGCATCAGAGGGCACACACACTGAAACCATCATCACAGAAACCAGCCAATCTGCTCCCAGTAAACAGGGTTAAAAAGTAACAAATAATGGGGAGGGGAGAGAAGTGTTCCTATGACTCACTGAAAAAGACCCGATGCTGGGGAAAATTTGAAAGCAAAAGGAGAAGGGGGCAGCACAGGATGAGATGTTCAGATAGCATCACCAACCCAATGCACATGAGTCTGAGCAAACTCCGGGAGACAGGGAAGGACAGAGAAGCCTGGCGTGTTGCAGTCCATGGGGTCACAGTCAGTCAGACACCACTGAGCGATTGAACAACCACCATCTCAGAGACATCACCTAGATCGAGGATTTAATGTTTCTTTTCTCAGGAAAAAAAAAAAAAAAAACCTGCCCAAGCACAAATTCAGGGAAACTGAATTATGAA